CCCTGGGATTCATATGGAACTATATTCACCTTTACAGCTCTACAACACTTGATTCAATACAAAACTGGGAAGTGTTAAAGCTCTAGTAATACTAGAATCATGTGTTCTATATACAGTACTAACACTACAATTAGATGTCTATAGCAAAGGTGACTGAGGATGCTAGAGCAAGATTTCTTCTCTTTCACTGAACTGAACTGAAGATAGTTAATGGCATTTTCACTCATTTATTACTTAATAAATTAATGACTGTTATTATTATCTGGGTAGCTTATCAATCCTATGATAAGATTTTTCAGTAATATTATTATCTGGGTAGCTTATCAATCCTATGATAAGATTTTTCAGTAACATGTTAACTTTTATTGACTTTACCAAGGTTAACATGTTACTGAATAAAGTGTCAAAAAGAAGTATGCTGTTATTAAAGATCTAAAGTTCAAGTACAATTAATGGAAATATACTGAGGCAGATTTCCTCACATTGAACAGGATGAAAGGTCATGGATTTTATGCTGTTACATAATAAGGTTATACGGATGTCTTTCCAGTGCATACTTCTTTCATATTATTTGATTGAGTCTATTTTATCAGTGGAAAATAGTATTATCCATTACTACAGTACACGACAGGCAGATGAGCATTTTTCTTAGCAATCTATACTTTAGCTCTGAGAGGTAAGAGGTGAGACTGACTGCTGGGACAATGCTACAACACTTTTATGTACCACCATTAAAATAGGCTCTAATATGTTGTAGGGATTGAGGGGAACCATGTCTGTGAAGATTCTTCATTTGAAATGCCACTTTCTTTATACTGCAGTGATTCTTGCTTTCCCCTAGCTGTGTCAAAGGGTTGTGAAGGAGAGGCAGGAGCTTCAGGCTAATTGTCCGTGAAGGGTACAGGTGGGCATGCAGAAAGACAGAGAGGAGCAATCGCACCCGAGGGCAGAGAGAAAAAGAGGAAACTTCCCTTATATACTGTAGGAAGGAGTAAGCCTGGCTATGGTGAAAGGGATAGCCTAACACCAGGGGGAGGAATGCTATGAGACTCCATGCACCACCATTGGATCAATCTGATAAGACCAGAAGTATGGTAGACATTCCCCTTAAAACAATCTGATTCTCTTTTATAATGAAACACAATCTATGCAGATAGCACCCCAGGTCCGGAATAACCCGCTAACGCAAGACAACGGTGCTTACCAATGTGCCACCATTCCACTCTGAGGTAACAATATTGCCTACATACTGTATTATTATTACTGTGTAATAAAGTTACACAGTTCATGGACCATTCCTCTACTTCTGTTAGTGCTCGAGGAGCCGTGGACCCACATCTTTTACTAGAGTTGATCTGTAGTCCAAACTTTTCTGTAACTAAGTTTTCTCTAAATGTGTGACTGTTAATTGGATATCTTACTTCAAATGACTTGGGTGGGAAAGCTAGCAAAACATCCCAGAACTTTTGACACAGTGTCAAAGGCACCCCTTTTAAAACTACTTTCCATAGACCAGAAGATGACATGAGGGTCGTCACTGGGCTAGAGCTTAATGTGAAAACTGCTGCCAAGAGAGACAGCATCTTTTTTTCTATAACCCCCCCCACACACACACACACATTTCCTTTTGTACATCACAACTCATATGAAATAGCCAGCCCACAGTGTCTCACAGGTCATGCACTGGATATGCAATCACTACACTATTATATTAATAAATATGCTTAGAGTTGGATATTTAATGCATTTATTTTTAAAATTCTATCAGTGACTTGAACATGTGTCTGATTTTGGCATTGTAGTGTAGACTATATGTTGTGTTGAAATTGACTTTGAAAGGCATTCCAAAAGGAACAAAAATGTCTGCTGATGTATGTTGCTGTTAAATGTGTTAATGTGTTAATCTGTTCTATAGATCATTTAACACAGGCACAAGAAGCTTGATGAAGATGTGTAGCACAGGTCATACTATATCATTGAAAAAATTGCAATTTTCCACACACAATTTGGGAAATTGTGCTGGTGAACACAAAAGCTCAAATTTGATTTGATGTGATTGCCAGTGCCAGTGTTGATGGCACTGGTTGTTTTTTTTTACAATATTTTCTTAAATATTAAGAAGATAAATATTCATCTATGGAGTTTAATGTTTGCATTTATAATGGAAAATGGGATTAAAAAGATTTAGTCAGTAGATGAAGGATGGTAATCAATTCAAAATTGTAATATTCTAGGCTCAAAACAAATTAATTCTTAAAACTAGGAAAACATGACGTTAATGTCTTAATGTAGAAACTAAGCAATAATTCAGAAGGAGGAGAATACTCTACAGACTGCATGAAAGAGCTGAAGATATATAAATAGATTAGAATATTGCAATGGAGACAAGAAATGTTCATGTTTACAATATTATATCAATTAAAGAAACTAAATAATATATAAGCTATTAGAGAATTAATTAATGAAAAGGACATAGTGAACATGCTGAATGAATATTTCCAACATTTTGTATGGAAATAACATTAATAAAGATATAAATAAAAGAACTCCATGATGTTGATTACATGCCCCATGTCATATTAAATGTAATTATAATTTAACATAGCACTTTATATTACATCTATTAAATGGAATAGTCTCAAACGCTTGTAAAAAGTGCTTTTCATTAAAAAAGGGTGTTTGTCAGTGCTGAGTTCTAAAAGCAGTAGGCAGAGAGGAGGAGCTGCACCCTTTACTGTGAGGTGTATGAACTTTGCTGTAATGAGGTCTGTAGCTAAGATGATCTTAACTTTTGACAGAGAGGTGTTGCAGGGAAAAAATGTTCAAGACATCCATGTGCCAACTTTTCCAATTCAGCTTATTCACTATTTTTCATAGACAACAGTTGTACATATTCAGTGAAAACAGTAGGCCTTCACATGCAGCATGTGTGTTGTCCTCTTAGAGTTCAAAACACTGGGTCCAGACCCAAATACAGTAGCTCCCATTTGTCAAGTCTGTCAAGCCTGAGAGCTTCCTCTGTTATTCTGGACAATTGTCCATTAAGGCTCAGTGATATACTTTACTGATAATTAAAAAAGATCACTTTATTGGCCATATACAATTTCTTGTATTAGAATTTTTGTCTTTTTGCATACCCCAGCTTGCTTACATTGAGACAAACAGACAGGGAAAGAAGCTTGGGATGAGAGGGCAATGTCAGCCATTTTTACGGCACTCCTGAAGCAGTTGGGGTTAAGGGCCTTGCTCAGGGGCCCAACGGAGTAGGTTTCCTCTGCCAGCCATGGGATATAATCTGGCAACCTTCTAGCCACAGGCACAGATCCTTAGCCACAGAGCCACCGCACCGCCCCAGAAAATTTATTTAAAATCCCTTAAAACTGTATGTGACAATATGCTGCAGTACCTGTAGATGTTTCTTTCATGCAGGACTACGGAGACCTTGTGGAAGTGTTTTACATGTTTAAGCTTTTTAATTAATGTTTTCCCTTATGTTTTCTACTTTATTGAATTGTATTATATTTTATATTATATATATTATATTTTATGCAAGCTTAGAGGCTTCAATTTCATTTCTAAATAATTTCTAATCTATAATACATTAAAAGAACATGAATGGAGTGTCTTTATCTACTGACCCTTGACTACTTGCTTAAATGAATGACTAATAACAACATGCTCAACATTCTAACATAGAAATGCTTTATCAAGGGATATTTCCGTGTCAATAACTCTATTGTGCATTGATAAAGAAGTATTTGCTGCCAAGAAACAAAACTATGTTCTAATGATCTAAATTGGTGCTGCCTAATCAAAACCGAGGGTTTCAGGTTAAGTGTCTCAGAACTGTCTGAAAGGAGAAGGTGGTTTCCTCTGTGTGAGTTCGCACACTGTGAGAACCTGCTCCACAAAGTAAAACCAGAAAGAATTAATTAAAGAAGAAATTTAATATGGAGGAAAATGGAAACAGCAAGATTACATAAGTATTCAAACCCTTTGGTATGACACACGTAAATTAATTTATGTGCAGTAAATTACCTTAATAAACCACACAATAATAGCGGCTCACATTATTTAATCCTCATGGAGATCATACCTGATAATAACACTGATTGTAAATGTCACAAGTTGAAAATTTACCATTATTCTTTTATGTGTTTATTTCTGCATATTTTCTGTGATTATGTTTAATATCCATGTTGCAGAATTATGAGATGGGTCTTTATACACATATCACCTTTGTGTTTATGACAGAAAACATTCCTGATAAAATATTTTTTATTGTGTCAGCAAATAGAAAATGTAGAGTGAGAAAAAAATCATTTTTGATCTCACACCAGTCTTTCTGATTATGATGTAGACAGATTACAGGTTTATTTTTTGGGATTTTTTAAAATGAAAAATGGAGTACAAATATCAGAAAAATCTATCAAATAGCTGACATTCTTTAACTGTATTGTATTACTTTTTTCTTTCCAAAAGTCAGCTTTGGAAATTGTGTGTGAGCTGTGAACACCAGAGATACACTCCATATACTGTAACAGCGACACTTGCCACTCTGTCAATGCCTTACATACATTTAATATCGCAGACTGTTGAAAAACAATAACCCTGGACATTCTAGATTCCAACAATATTTAGTGAAGCTGTTTCAAACCCAGAAATTCTTGCTCATTGAAATTAAATAAAATTATGTATTATTTTAATTTATTTAAATTTATTCAATTTATTAATTCTTTATTTTTATTAAAATGAAATTAAAAATCTTACTTGGAAATGGAAATGATATGAGATGCATACATGATAAGCTGTTCTGTTATGTTTATTTTTTTGTATTTGTAGTTTGAACTTTTGCTTTCTAAAAAGGACAGATGACTTAACATCTTTGTGTCATTGTGGTTAGTGTTTCTGTAAGGGCAGGATGTTCTGGATAAGAACATATTGACGCACATAGATCATTTGCAGTAGAAGACAGAGACAGTTGCATAGAGCAGATCAGCTCTATAGATGCAAGGACACTTGTCTTTGTTAGGATCTATTCTCTTTTACTATCTTTAACTCACCAATGGAGTTTCTTCTCCTCCTGGATCTCCTCTCAGGTAATACCTAGATTTGGTGCCTAGTTATGGAAGGTATGTGAAGCATAGAAATGTATGAATGGAAATTTAATCAATAATTTCTGTTTGGATTCAAAATTAAAGAGGCATCTGCAAACTGCGCTGATGAGTGAATCTGAGTCGGGAACTTGATAAAATTGGGATGGTGTGGTGGCTTTGTGGCTAAGGATCTGCGCCTGTGGCTGGAAGGTTGCAGGTTTGTATCATGTGGCCAGCAGAGGAATCCTACTCCTTTGGGCCCCTGAGTAAAGCTCTTAACCCCAACTGTTCCAGGGGTGCCATATAAATGGCTGCTTCTTAAGTAGTGACCCCTCCAATTCAGGTCACCCCAGAACATTTCAGAATGTTCCAACCAGCATTAATTGCCTCAGTTGTTAATTAACTTTAAAATTACAGCCCTAAAAGGAAAACAAATCTGAAATGTACTGGATGGGAAAGGTCACAAACTGAGTAGTCCTGATTACTGAAAAGGATTTTTAATTGAATTTCAAAAAGTTTAATTCCAGACCTGGAGTGTTATCTGCGTGGTGTTTACAGTATACTGTATTTTCTTCTCATGTCTGTGTCAGTTTCCTCCAGGTGCTCTGGTTTCGTCCTACAGTCCAAAGATGTACTGGTTGGTTCATTGACTGCTGGGAAAACTGGCTCTGGTGTGAGAGCATCTGTCTTTGATGGAATGGCATCCTGTACAGGGTGTATTCTGTCTTGTGCACATTTTTTGCTGGAATAGGCTCTGGTGCCCCAACAACCATGAATTGAATAAAGCAGTTAGAAAATTAATGGATGGATGGAAGATATTTTACCCCCTAAAAAAATCTATATCTCTTTTCTGCCTGGTAATGTACTAATGTAAAGTTTTTAAAAACTAAAAAATACAGACAAATCCACTAGTTACATAAACTTACTGTACTGTACATGTCAATATACACATATCAATAATATGCTGGATGAATGAAGGGATACATCTTTAGTGTTATACAGTAGTGTTCCATATTTTGGGAGTATTCACGTGACCTCCCTTTAAACTCAACTGTGGGTGATTATGTTTTCTACCTGAAACCATAGAAGCCTGAAAATGATAAAACAGGGAAAAAACTATAGGGCAATTCAGCCTATTTTCTTATGTTCTGAGCACACACAAGGCTCTACAAGCAACCCAACTAACACCATGCCTCCTCCTCATATCCTCTGCAAAACTAATTCCATGCATCTGAGAATTTGTTAGCTAACCCTTCACCACTTGTCCTCTGTAGAGGTGTAAATGACATCTCAAGACAGGTTAACTGTGGCTACAGTCTCTACAACAGCTGGCCTACCACAATATGGTACTGTATTTGCTTAATTTATAAATACTTCTACTTTAAAGTTGCTTAATCTAGCTTCAGAAAGAGCTTCTCAACATTTCTCAATTTATCTACTTTCAAATATTGTGAAATACATTCCTGTGGCTTAATTTCAAGATAAAACACTAAACCATTAGCCTGACAGATACTCAAGGTGTGTCCATGTACTGTATAACCAAGTGATGAGGTGTGGGGCACAGGAATCCACCAGCCTGACTTGTACATAACTCTGGAAACCCTCCCATGTTTTTTAGAATTTTTTTGAAAATAAACTTTAAAAAAGGGGGGCCTTCATGATCAATGGTGAAGCTGACAGAATTAGGAGAGACCCACTAGACGACACCACAGCTAGGCAAATTAGGAACTGTGATGTAGACGCCGTCAGGAACTTGAGCAGTGTGTTACACACACACGTTACACAGTTACACACGTACACATTGATATTCATTCCTATTGTAACCATGGTGTCTGGCTTTCAAGTAAGAGGTGTAATTTGGACGGTACATGTTAGAATGGGTCCTTACCTGTGTCCAAATCCTGGCTGCAAGAGATCTAAGATCTACTCAGGAGTCAGAAAAGTTTGAATGCTTTGTGAGGCTCTAGGTATGTTTGTGCACTTTTCCCTGGATAGACATACTGTATCTCATCTTCCAGCTGCACATTCTAGTATGCACTCTGTGAAAGAGGTTTTAGATCCACATACATTATACTGGGAATTGTATCTGTAGTACTGTAGGGGCAGTTTTCAGGTGCCATTTTCTAATGGTGAAGTCAGACTGAGTCCTTCACTGGATTTAAACTCTAGCCACTAGCACCAGCACTCTGGAAGAGCTGGCTCATTTGAAGATCTGTTCTTGCTGTATGTGTTTTAGGCTGCATTGTGACAGCCATTCTTGTTACTCCTTGGGGAATCTGAAGAGAGATTAAAGTTTACTTCTAGATTTGTTGCAATAGATTGTTGCAATAGATTAAAATGGTGGATTGTTTTGCAGGACTAAATAGTTTATTCACTTAATTCCTTCATTCTTAAAAGTTAATTCTTAAAATATTTTCCTGAATGTACCCCAGTTTGACAGATTCTCCTGTGCTGTCTTCAAACTGCTGTCTTGTGCTGACTTCACATTGTAGTCCATATAATTTACAGTGTACACCTGAGTAAGGTACACCACACCTTTCTCACAGTTAGTGTTTAGTGCATGCAGTGTATTTATGGAATGGATGGACTACCGTGGAAGGATTGTGCAGTCTTTCTTCTAAAATGCACACTTCCAATGAACAGAGCTTTTTAGTTTCTTTCCAAATGAGGGATCTCAGGCTGCATAAAGGAGTTTAATTATCTTTTGGACCAGTGATATGGCTGTTGCGGACAAAACTGCAAGCATACAATTGTCCAGCCTGTCAGTCAGTGACTGCAAGTTAAGAATACCTTAGCCAGCTCAATATCCACCCTTCCCATCCCTTGTGGATTGAGCACCACCCCATGGAGAGTGCCAGTCACTGTAGACAGCTATTGATGTACAGTAGCCCAGGAGCAATCTAGTGATGTCTGGACAAGAGGGTTCTGAATGGACAACTTTACTGTTTAGGATATGTGAGAGTTGGGCCAAAACAACTTTTTGAATTTCTGATACAATTAATATCTAAAAGGCATTCATTATCTGATACTGTATCAAAGACACTTTCAGACGAGCCATCCATGTTCCTACCACTTTATCCAGTAAAGAGCTTAACCAGGCAAGCAACGGACACGTGGCAGTTCAGCACAGGACGTACACAGCAGGGCCAAATTTTACCAGTAACTAATTAGCCTACCACTATGTTGTTGGACTGGAGTGGTGGAACTGGAGTACCTGGAGGAAATCCACATGAAAATGGGGAGAACATACAAACATCACTCAGATAGCACCCCAGGAACTGAACCCAGGGCCTTACAATTCTAACCACTGCACTACTAAGCTGCCCAGTTATGTATAAAGAAATGTGCTGTTTTAATAAAAACATCTATAATGATTAAATATCTCTTTCATCAGGTGCCTCCAGCCTATAAACTTTTAGTGAGGTGACTGCTTCTGAAAGAGGATCAGCCACCATCTCCTGTGTCTATGACATGAGCTACGTGGACTACGTGAAATACTGGTGTACAGGGTATCAGTTTAATTACTGTAATATAGTGAGGAAAACCACTGATCCAGCAGAGAAAACACATAAAGTGTCAATAAGTGATGATAAAAGAAAGGGAGTGTTCACAGTGACTGTAAGATGGCTGGAAAAGAAAGATGCTGGCTGGTACTGGTGTGGGAAAGAGAGATACAGTATTCGTCTGATGATAGTGCAGCAGTGTACCTCACAGTGGCTGATGGTAAGAATGACTCCACACACGCTTGAAATGTAATGCACTGTTTTGCTACAGACAATCTAAACCATGTTTCTCAAAATCCTGGTGGAAACCTTCATCCTGTTTCAGCGTTGGGAGTGTGGTTCAACTGTACAGCACTGTGCAATGTGTTGGAAACAGGAATAAGAATGTCAGTTCATTGTCTTTATGTGTACCCCTCTTTATCTGTGTTGTTTTCTTATTAGAATTTCTTATTTATTTTTAATCTAGATCACAAAGAAATTCAGGGGGCATGACTGCAAAGTTCAATTTTACCTCGTAACTCATAATCATTCCTGACTTAATTTCCTAAGTTATACAAAATCTCCCATAAATACTATATGAAGCCTTTTCTCCTTCACATTAGTCTTCTGCCCAACTCTTACTTTGAGTTCTCTTACATGCTTGGTTGCCACTGTTTTTCACTTTTCTCCATGGGCCTACAGAGTTAATGCTCTTTGATCTTGGAGAGCAATCTGCGTCTCCTCACAAAAAGCCTGTTCCTGAAAGATTTTCCTTGTACCACAATCACCTGCCTATCATTCCCTGCCAGGTCAGTCTTCCAAAGCTTCCCTGTCTCACTAAACATTGAAATCTGCTGTTGCTATAAACCCACTATCCTCTCGACCACCTATTGTGCAGACCCTGGCTCTGGTTGAAGACAATTGTGTTATAGCGCTCGCATCTCTTCCCATGTGCGCTCTAAAACTTGTCCTGCTCTCAACAACTTGACTGTAGGAAAACTCCAGCAAAGTCTCCTTAAGCACAGAATACCCTTTAGAAACCTCAAGGAAAGAACTCTTTTTGCTTTACAAATTAAAGTAAACTGTAAATAAGCCCCGGTCCTCCAGCATTTTTCATGTCCAGATGATACCATCAACCCAGTTCCCTTGATTTCCACCCCAGATGTTCCAGTGCTTCCCTGGGTCTGCCCAACCAGTTTAGCCAGCAGGTGTCTTATACTGTAAATCTCTCTCTTCTCTGCCCCCTGATGTCGAACATAGTTCAGTGGCCCTTTCTTTCTTTCTTTATTCTACTTCTATCATCAACATCGAATCCAGTTCAGTTCCAATGTATATATCCCTTCAGTCTCAGATTCCAATGTTTCAGCCTCTGCTATTCCTGATACCAAGAACATGATAATTGTCAAGTCACAGACAATTGACTTTTTTATTCAATCCCTCTTCTCCCAGCAAAAGATTCATCCATTTTGATATCCATTTAAAAAAAATCAGAGGTCATTCTTGCTATGGATAAAACATAAAGGCCCAGAACTGGTTTACTGTCATTTGTTTCCTTGGAATTGTTCCATCCCTCCTGACAGGTGCCTATCCTGGCAAGAAACAGACGTAAGACAGGATACATCCTGGATGGGATGCCAGTCCATTGCAGAGACATACAGAGACACAAACCCAGACACACACACTCACACCAGGGCCAGTTTTTACCAGAAACCAATTAACTTACCAGTATGTCTTTGTCCTGTGAAAGGAAATCAGAGAACCTGAGCATGGTGGCGCAGACTGGAACTGAACCCCCAAGACCCAGGAGCCATGAGACAACAGTGCTTAGTGTCTTGCAATCCACACTGTCACCCAATTTAAGAAATATTCATTAATAATAATAATAATAATAATAATAATTATTGCTTACATTTATATAGCGCTTTTCTGGACACTCCACTCAAAGCGCTTTACAGGTAATGGGGACTCCCCTCCACCACCACCAATGTGCAGCATCCACCTGGATGATGCGATGGCAGCCATAGTGCACCAGAACGCTCACCACACATCAGCTATCAGTGGGGAGGAGAGCAGAGTAATGAAACCAATTCATAGATGGGGATTATTAGGAGGCCATGATTGATAAGGGCCAATGGGAAATTTGGCCAGGACGCCGGGGTTACACCCCTACTCTTTACGAGAAACACCCTGGGATTTTTAATGACATTAAAATCCAAGCCGTGTTTTTCATGTTACTATACAGTAGGTGGGTTTTTGTTTCTGATCAGTATGAACTGCCTGCAGATCAGAGCCAAAGATCTGTACACGCAACATTTAGAGGCCTGGATACTTGTGTACCCATGTGGACCATCTTGTGATGAATCCTCCACTGCTAATTTCAGTGCCATCGCCACCTTTTTGGTGAGAGCTTTGAGGAGAACAGACACAAGCATGAGCTGTCAATGGACAGCCAGAGGATTTGGCGTTTCTTATTTCAAAGTGGATTTCTTAACACTTCACCATCTGCAAATATACAGTGCAGCAGATTATCCTGCAAGTTGCTGCCCAGTTGGGACATCACAGTGGAAATATAATTGAGTGATATGATTTGCTTGTTTGCATTGTGCCAGCTGCTACTACAGCTGGCCTAATTGCACTGACGTCTAAACTGGCACGTATCTGAACAAGTGAGCTAAAGGTTTGATTTCAAATGGTAACATAACGCTTACAGTGACACACGAGACAGCACTGTTCCACCAAAGGATATTTCTGTGTACACAAATATAAAAGAATGGAGGCAACATAGGGATCATGTTCCTGATACCATTGCCATGAAAAATGTTTGCTGGAGAGGACTGCTGTGCTGTTGTCATTGCTGTGGTGGAGTGCCATCTCTTCGAGGCCTTTGAACACATCCAGCGTTTTCTCAAAATGCCGCACAATGACAGAGAAGAGATACTACACCCAACAGTATACTGGTATATTGATGTTCTGTGACCCAAACATCATCCTGTTTTGTGGCACAACACTGCCTGAGTAAACACCGCAAGCATTACTCATACACTGGATTGGCACACATTAGCCCCATTAGCCCATTTGCAAATCCTGCTGAATATTTTTCTTCCAAAATTGTTCTAATGCCTGACAGAGTTCCTGTACAACCAGTGGCCAGGTATGGATCTCCAGTACATCCAGCAGTGTATTGGTACTATGATGTAATTTATGTTTCACGTTGTTTAAATGAGGCAGTGGTGATGCAGTTCCGCAGTGGTTATAATTGTGTAGTGTGCTCTCTGAAGGCACCAGTTCTATAGGGTTTGGGCATTTACTGGGACAATTATTAATTGTAGCAGTAAATCACAAAATGATTCTTTTGATGGC